TGGGTCCACTGGGCTCAGAGGTCGAGGTATCCACCATCAACCAGCCCCAACCCAGTGCAAGTTGGTGATCACAGTGCGCCATGTGTGGACCACAGCTGTAGGGCCTCACTCTCAGATGCACAGCTATGGGAAAGCCGTACTTGATGTACTCATGGTGGCCTCAAGTGGATGCTCAAAGTCTGACTTTCCAGTGATGAGTAGGGCCACAGCGGGGCATGTGCATAACCATTCCATCTTCAGAGGAAAGGCCGCGTCGATCAAAGCGCTCCACGGCCCTCCACGTCCCATAAGTCAGGGGTAGCCAAACTGCGGCCCTCCAGCTGTTGAGGAACTACATGTTCCATAAGGCATTGCAAAACTTTGACAGCAACAAACATGACTTCCAGAGGTAGATACACCATGGGGTTGGTGGTTTTACCACAGCCGGAGGGCCGAAGTTTGTCTACCTCTACCTTAGAGATTCACCTCTATCAGAGTGGACCCTTCTACGGGGAGTTTGTCTGTGAAGGTTCTCATTCATCCGGGTCATGTCTGTGAAGGTTCATTCATCCGGGTCATGTCTGGGAAAGTTCTCATTCATCCGGGTCATGTCTGGGAAGGTTCTCCTTCATCCAGGTCATGTCTGTGCAGGTTTTCCTTCATCCGGGTCATGTCTGTGCAGGTTTTCCTTCATCCAGGTCATGTCTGTGAAGGTTCATTCATCCGGGTCATGTCTGTGAAGGTTCATTCATCCGGGTCATGTCTGTGAAGGTTCTCACTCATCCGGGTCATGTCTGTGAAGGTTCTCATTCATCCAGGTCATGTCTGTGAAGGTTCTCATTCATCCAGGTCATGTCTGTGAAGGTTCTCACTCATCCGGGTCATGTCTGTGAAGGTTCTCATTCATCCAGGTCATGTCTGTGAAGGTTCATTCATCCAGGTCATGTCTGTGAAGGTTCTCACTCATCCAGGTCATGGTATATCTGTAAAAAAATAAGTCACGGCAACTGTTTTTCTTCTTGAAGACGTCTCACTGGTCATCCGACCAGCTTTCTAAATTCAGAATGAATGCCAAGAGTACCAGAGGGTGAAAAGCATGACAAGCTGAAGAATTTGGTCATCCCGTATGTAGCCGGGGTGTCCGAGGAATAAACATCACATCCCCGTCTGCTTTACACCCAGCAATACACTGAGGCAACAACTGGTTCACCCAAAAGACCCAACGCCAAAACACAAGATGAACAACATTGTGTCTGCAGTCCGGTGGGTGAGGAGCGCTCAGAATTGTATGTCGGTGAAACCAAAACAGCAGCTACACCAGCGTATGGCACAGCATAGAAGAGCCAAACCCTCCGGTCAGGATTCAGCAGTGTACCCACATCTAAAGGAAAGAGGTCAGTCCCCTGAAGACAGTCAGGTACGCATCCTAGACAGGGAGGAGGACGGGTTCATGAGAGGTGTGAAAGAAGCCAATTATGTAAGAATGGAGAAGCCAAGCTTGAATAGAGGGGGGGGGGGG